GGAGAGAATGAGAAACCGAGCAGAGGGTTAAGAAAGATGCAACAGCTTAAATAAAAGGGGGAAAATGATTAAATATGCGGTTTTAGGATCGAATCCAAGTTTTTGAGAAGGTATAATGTTTATATGGCTACACATAACTAATTTGGCTCTTGAAAGTAGGAGAAAAGTCTCACTGGGGACATTTTCTGGGAAGGTAAATTACATTTTGTTGGCTCATTTGAACATTTGTCCATCACTTGTCTATTGCCCATCTGCTGCTCTAACTATAAAACGCAGCCTTCTCTTTTTTCTGCCTTCCCCGCTCCACACAAGTTGCCCCAATATGACCGCAGCAGGAAGCTCGGTAAATTAACTAACGTGTTTTGCAAGCGAGCAACCAGCCGGGTTAGTGTTTTATGTGGTGACGGGGAAGTGGAACTAACCAAACGGAGCCTTTTTTCCCCCTCAGTGGTCCATATCTCTATTTCTCCTATTGCCAGCCCTCATCAGCATGCAAATGAGGCAGGACAATAAAGGTGAACTTGGACTAGAACAGGAGTCTGACATTTAGTTGCCATTTTGTGCAGAAAGAGGGGGAGACTTACCTATCTGTGGGGAATAACTCTGACAATGCTCTCCCTGCTATTCGGTGAAGTTGAAGAAAATTTAAGGGGGACGAGATGGAGAAATTAAGATGGTGTACTTTCAGGAGGAGTGGACTAATTTGTCCCACCAGGCTACCGTCTAAGACTCCTGTGGCTCTTCCTCTTTGTCTACTGTGTATTATTTTACCCCATCTGGTGCATTATGTAGTTATATTAGTCAATTTCCTTGGGTCTCTCCCCATCACCACCCCACTCCCTTACACACACACACACACACACACACACACACACACACACACACACACACACACACACACACACACACACACACACACACACACACACAGAAAAAGACAATATTCATACTTCTCTCTAATTTCGCTATGACGTTGCCTGGTGCTACATCAGGGAAATGTTGGTTTTTATTCTTTCTTCGTGAGCCAGCACAAAGGAAACAAGAGACACAGAACAAAACGGAGAGAGGTTTCACAGCCGAGTCGATACAAAAGGAGCCTTGAAGGTATTCCTACCAATCTGAGGTCATTGAGCCACTGTCGGCCACAAACCCCATCAGAATTATTTGTCATTATCTGCATTTTTCTTGCCATTAGTTTGATTCTTTTCATAACAAAAGGGAAATAACGCTTCTTGTGCGTCTCTCCAGGGTTCCTGTATGTCTTCTTGTCTTCTCTGTATTGTAATGAGAGTTTTTCGAGCTCACTGATCCAAGACTCAAATTTGACTACAATTGTCTAATTTGGGGAGCTGATGTCAGGATTGTAATATGCGTAACAACTGTGAAACATGTAGTGGATACTTGAGTTTCCACCTGTTGCGAAGCGTCACGTTTTGGACGTGTCCCAGAAGGATAAGGATGCATTGCTTGCGTTTTGAGTATTGTTCCATTAATATAAAAATGTCAGCCTATATCGATAGCCGATATTAATATCGCTGTTGTACCCGATTACCGATATTTGCAGATATTACGCTAATATGAGTAGGGATGTAAACAAATATTGGTGCACAGAAATATCGCAGTATTTATAAAAATGAATCAATAATTAATGTCATTGTATACATTTTTATTGAGGATTTACATGCAAATATTTACTGTTTTGTGTGTGTGATGCAATTCAAAACTCCAACCACTAGATGGCAGCAGGTTTTACTGCCTTCAATCTGCCAGAATAAGATCTGGCAATAGCACTGGGGGGTGTTTCTCAATGTCAAGGCGCCTGGCCTTGCAAGGCAATGTCTTGCAAAGCCAGGCGCCTTGCTTACGAGAACACTGACAAACGGTTAAATGGAACAGACTTGCATCACGTGACCGCGGCTTCCACGGCGATCACGTAACATCACCTGGCACGGGAGATAATGTTATATTTTACACAAATTAGTTTCAATATAAATATATAACTAGCCTTTTACTTTTTACATTTTGTATATATTTGTTAAATTAAATATTTAAGTGAGTTACTACCCGCTAACCACTGAAGCTGCAACTACTAAGCAACTAACCAACCATAGATAACTTCTGTGGTTCTAAAATAACATTTTAAATTAGTTGACTTACTTTTAAACTTGAAATTTGCCGCCGAAGTAGCTGCCGGCTTCTGATTTGCCATCCTTTTGAAGATACCACGGTGCATTCTAGGTTTTTTTTTTTTTTACCAAGACTAGGCTACAAGACACCTCCCATGTGTCCTTGCTCAGCTAGCTAAACGGCTAACAAACGGAGAACACACGCCTCGGTAGAACATGAACATTGGAACACGTCTTGGCGGCTCCCGATTATGTATATCCTAGTCAACTGAGGCAGGGCCAAGACATCAAGGCGAGGTTCCTTGGCATTGAGAAACACCCTGGATGTTTTGGAGGCATCTGGCGTGAGTTTTTCAATCAAGTTCAGTCTAAAGTACTCTGAATATTGTCTGGCTCACAACATGTCATATCACCATATTCTTGCCAATACACATCCCTAAGTATAAGAATTATACATATATAAATATATTACATTATTATTATACATCCATAATTGCTTTTGAGATGATGATTTTGAATGATCACAAACCACAACCAGATGAGAATAAATATTGACTGTTGATGTCAGCCCAGTTTTACTTTCCGGACCGATACTGACATGTTAAAAAAAGGCCAACGTCGGCTGACACCAATGTTGATGCCGATACATCGTGCATCCCTATTTTCGAGTCTTGTTTTTACAAACTTTTCTTCGAGAACACGTCAAAACTCTGCAGGTCAGGTCAGACAGGAAGCCAACTACAAAAATGGTGTAGAACATCCTGAAATTTTTAAAATAAAAGTCACGTGAAGCTATACAATTGCTTAGCTAGCAAAACACGTACTTGATTTCCTGTGAAATTTTGTAGCCGAAGTAAACAGAACAGAAAATAAACCTCAGACCTTTTTGGCTACATGCAGCCCTCTTTCTCCTTGCTTATTATTGTGTAAACCTCTGAAATCACACGTGGTCTTGCAATTCTCCCGTAATTTTTTGTGGCCTCGCGGAACCAGCTGTGTGGGACTCCCCTTTCATGTCCGCAACGCTCCAGCTTGGACGGGAGCTCACAGATTAAACGTATCTATTACGTTACATGCCTTTCACGCGTCTGGCGGAAAGTAGGGATCACTCTTATCTCGAAATATTTTTATAAAACAATTCCGTCAATTAGCCACAATGCCGTGGCGGCATCAGGGAGCCTTAGGTCATTTATAGTTGGTCAGACCGTGGCGATAATGTGGCGCAATCGTTTCCTTTTTATAAAAAAATTAGGCAATGGTGCCATAAAGGGGTATGGGGGTAGTCCTTGCTCTGCCGGGGAATTCCGTTTATCTTGTTTTTTATTGTGATTGAAACCGCGATCGTTACTTTTTTTTAATGATCTGCTCCTAAAGGTGTCTGTCCTCTCCAGTCCCATGCAGTCTCAGGTGATCTGAACTCCAGCTCTAACATAGAAGTTTGTCGTCTCATCAGATTATGTTAAAAAAGCTAAACTTAAGGCCCGTGTTTACTTTCATTTTCAATATAGTTGCCAGCCGGAGTTCATCATCAAGACACATCCCTCTGTTGCGCCAAGGTGCAATTGTTGTTTATGAGACATACAATTACAACAACGTTAATACCAAACGAGGTGAAATGAATGCCGCAAAATTTGTGCTACGCTGTGCAGCGTTGTGGTAATATCAGGTTGATTTGCCAGCACGGTGTGTCTTTTAACCCTCCCACTGTCTTCATGGGTGACCCCGCAAAGAAAGTTGACCATTGAGCAGGATTGATGGTTTATCCCTTGAGATCTACGCGGCAGGGGTGAGGTGGTGCTCACTCCTCACTCCTGCCACGTAGACCTCAAGGGATAAACCATGAATCCTGCTCAATGGTCAACTTTCTTTGTGGGGTCACCCATGAAGACAGTGGGAGGGTTAAATAGGGCTTCTGTCACTCACTTAAAAAAGGTGCAACTCTCATTTAGATATGTTTACTATGCAATTTCTTGGTGGAATTAGTTTTTTTTTCTTTGCATAGCACACAAAAGAGTAACTATGTTCTACAACAATACTGATTAAGAACCTAATAAGATTAACAACAAAAATCCTCTCACTAATTAGAAACAGAGAAAAAAAGCCAGTCAAAGGGAATGAATGAGTTCATTCTACTTTGGGATTGTCCTATCAGCCCTCAGGAAAATGAGCAAGAGGCTCCCTCCAGTCAGGGAAATGAGAGAACCAAGAAATCTTTTAGGATGTATCAATGTACACACTGGAGCTGCTCCATCGAGACTGACTTTGCAAACTCTCTCTGAAGTTTTTATATCAAACGCAGCTTTAGATTTAGTGGCACTATCAATTCCAGGACGCCAAATCATCTGGGGTGCTCACAGCTCGTATTTCTCCCATGTTTTGCAATTTTCTTCAGCAGAAGCTCTTCATAGGAGTGACATCACAAATTAGATGGCGAAAAAGTCTCTATTCTGGCTCTGCACTTTGTGGGGCTGAGGGAACTGGCTGTTCTTTGATACAGAGAAATCTATCAGAGGCTAAGATGGAGGAAAAAACTGACGGCAAAGCTGAAAATGTCTTATTGCTCAATTAAAGTCGCTTCACTTGTGCATGTTAATGTGTTTGCTAATGAAAAATTTGTCTTTTTTTATTTTAATGGGTTCTTAAAATATTTTATGTGATGCACGCATAAAACATTCAAACAACGTCCGCAGTGTTGCCATGGAGTTGCAGAACTAAGGTTTTTGCACAGATGTAGGCATACATTCATCAGAGAAACAATAGGAGAAGACAGCTGCAGCATTCATTTTCTTGGCCCTGCCAAGTGAGCATCAAAGTTTTTTCACCTCCTGGTCTAACTTTCCCCATTGCTCTCCTGTCTGTCTTGGTTTATTCCAGCACTGAAGGACGACCGCTTCCAGATGATGCTCTTCAGTCCAACCATGGTGCGCATCACACTGACCAACGTCAGCGTGTCGGATGAGGGCGGCTACTTCTGCCAGCTTTACACGGATTCAACACACCACCAGGTGGCGACACTTTCCGTGTCGGTTCCCCCGGAGATTCCTACAGTGGAAGTGAAGCAGGAGGCCGTGGAGGGCGGCGAGGCTGAGCTCACCTGCGTGTCGCCTCGCAGCAAGCCGGCCGCCACCCTGCGATGGATGCGAAATGGCCGTGAGATACCAGGTAGAGGGGGGACGTGGCTGACACGCAGACTGATGGATGTTTAGATGATTACGAGAGATAAATGTGAGAGTTAATGAGATGTTATACGACAGGTGAAATGGAATGGTAGGGCCATATCGCAGATTGAGTGCTGAATAAAATAGAAATAAATGAACAGGTGATTGATGGGTTGACAGGAGAAAGAGAGATGGATCAGTGGAAGAACGTTGGTATAGATGCGTGGATAAATGGAAGGAGAAAATGGGGATCTGAGTGGTGGGGCTGCTAAAATCTCTCCTCCTGTCACCTCCACTTTGATCTAGCACACTTTTGGAGATCTGAACGGCAATCGTTTTTTGTTCTCATCATTTTAAGAAGGCATAACCAGCTCATAACATGAAACGTATAAGAAAGATCTACTAATATAAATGTTTCATCAGGTGAAATGCTGCCCGGTTGGGTTTAGATCAAGCGGCTGACACAGCTGTTGCAGTTTCATCTTTTTCGTTTCCATTAAAGAAGAAAAAAAAACTCCTGGATAACTCATGAATTGCAATGTGGTTTGGGCCGTCGGCTATCACAAGTGAAGCTTCTTCCGATCATCTACGCTGTCAGAAGATAGCACAAACTTATGCAGTGGCCTTTATAATTTATATGTCTGATTTGGCTGTTTTTATCACACCATCAGTAAACACTGAGCCTTTATGGTGTGTGCTTTTGTTCATGAATATTTCAAGCCTCCTCCATGCTTATTTCGTCCTGTCACTAAGGTACAGGTTTTATCTTTGCTTTATCTGAGTGAAGAACTGTTTCTAAACTGGTTCAGCTTTTAAAAATGCTTTAAAGTGGTCCTTGAATTTAAAAGCACACGTCCCTCGTTGTTGTTGCTGAATAAAGGCAGCTTGTGGTGTCTAGTGTAGAACACCAAAGTCTGTGCCGTCTCCAACCTGCTTTCCTGTGTGAATCAGCAACGTTGTCATGGCCTCGGAGAAACGTTCTCAGAAAAGATGGCAGAACATGTCGCAAAGCTTAGACATACGACCAAACATTTGCATGACCCAGCGTTGACAATACGTAAACTTTGATCATGGTAATTCTAACCGCAAAACAGTGCTAGCTCAGGCTAATGCTAACGCTAGCCCAAGCTACTGCCAATACTAGCCTGAGTAACTGGTAACGTGCTCATTGGACGAGAAGAAAACAAGAAAGAAGAATTTAGGAGTGCTACTCAAGTTCTAGGATGTACTGAAAATACCAGACAGATCCACAGGTTGAGATCCTTGTCCTCTTCTTCATTCGAACACAAACCCCCGCTACACAACCCGCCCGACACTCCCTTTGTTCCTCCTTCGGTACTTCTGCAACACCCCATCCCCAGACCTCTGAGTTACTATCTTCACAAGAAGCATCATGGTGAACTGGCCAATTAACATTCAGCTCATTTCATATTTGTGTCCTGGCCAAGTCGGCAGGGTAAACCAATCTTTCCAATGTATGGCTTCAAGTCTGATCGGTACTTCTCTGTTAAATTGGCAGCGGAGACTCGTAACGCCATGTTGCTTTGAGGCAAGTGCGTTGAGGCAGGCCTGTGTAACGTCCAGCACTGGTCAGTTTTTAGGTACAGTTTGACCATTCAACATCTGGTCAAAATGGAGACATGAGACTGCATGTGTTCCCTTTAAATCGTCCTGCCTTCATCCCATCAGCTGGAGCTCAGAGCCTCTCTGCAGCTCTGAACACATGATAACGAATTGTCAACAATGATGTTCTCTCCTCAAGGTCCAAGCTTCCCTTATCGTCCTACAGGATTCTTCATGCCTCCGAATAAGGAACACTCACAGCTCGGATAAGTTGCCAAATCAAAGAATGATTTCTTAAATTAAATTTGAACTTTTAACCCTTTGATGCATGAATTATGAAATCTTCAACCATGATTTTTTTAACAATTTTTTTCATTCATCTTTAGGTGTGAATGAAACAAATTTCATATTTACATATTTTTTGTAACATTTAATTTACAAATACTTTATTACATGTCCACCGCAGTGGACAGTGTGCATTCTGAACATGAAATATGTTGGCTTGACTTACTGAAGTCCAAATGGAGGGGCTCACATGCAATAAAGTCTTCAACAGCTGTGCTTAATAGTAAAAATAAATAAATAACAATTTTGGGTACCTGTCCACTGTAGTGACCATTATGCATCAAAGGGTTAAACTTATAAGTTAGATAAGTTAGATAATCATTAAATAAACGTTTGTTTATTGCAACTTATAATAATTATAATATAAAGAAATGCTTTCATTAATCTGTGCTTGAGTGATTGAAGTTTGGAATTAATGTTATGTTATGATTACATTTAAAGGTGTATATATGTCTCAGCATGTTGATATGACAAGGTCATCACCATTTGCACTCACACAAGGACAAAGTAAAGTTAAGTCAAACGCGTGACACATAAAAAGTCCGTTACCCCAGATCAGAGCATCGGTATCAAGGAAGGTGTGTTTCTGAGGTTGTCTTGGTAACATTCCTCAACTTGTCAACCTCTGGTTGGCTACACAAATCATAACATGAGAACATTAAAACTGGATCACTCTGGTGATTCCGGAGTTCAGCTCAGCAGTTCAGCGCAGTTCTTGAGAAAGCTTCAGACCGGCCATCTGAAGCAAAACCTCTCCAACCCATCAAAGCTTTTGACACGTCGTCAAAATCTTTTTGCACCTGCGAAGCTGATACAGCAAACAGTTCCTGCAGACAAGCTGATATTGTTCCAACTCCTTAAAGAGTCCCAGACGCGCGGTTCCATCCATCTGTCGTGACCCGAGACATCTCTGGACTGAAGAGTCGGTATTACGGTATTCTACAGCCCTCGGTGCCAGAGGTCATCCGACCTCTGCCCTTCGGATCCACGAAGATGGTCTCCTAGAACGGGTGAAGTAGACACACAGATAGCATCTGATTCCTTTTGATAGTAATCAACTTCTTAGCTTAACGCAACCCAAATTCTTTTACACCCAGAAGTCAGCTTTCCAAAATACGGAAGTTCTGATAACATCGCATTCACACATAGGCGCCACATACAACATCTCCATCTAGATTCATCCACTCACAGTAAATAAATATTAGTTAATTTGTCATGTTTTAATTGTTTGTAACATAAATTCTTACTTTTATAAATCTGACTCTTTCCTGAATCAAAACGAAGTGTTTACAATCCCTTAATAAAACAAAGAATCCTAGAATCTTCTGATTAATACACAAAGACCAAGCAGGGTGATATTCTATGTTTATAGAGGATCACAGCTTATTGGTCATAAGTAGAGGTAATATATTTTGAGCTCTTAAAGCACTCAACTTCTCAAACCCTACACATGTAAGGGTCAATGGAGACATGCCTGATTTTTAACTATCCTTTATAAGCTATGGAAATTGCAAGCCTGTGATTGGTCAGTACATGGCTGCCGCTTCCAATACACCTGCGACTGAAGGAGGATATGAAGCAGACTTTTCATTCAGGGAAGGGAATAATGAGAAACGTGGGTTTGGAGCTGGCGACTGCACGAAGAGGTGGAGGAGAATGATGGACTAATTTGTGCTTGGTAAAAAGTCTCGGTAACACTTCCTTTTACAGTCTCCTAAATACTAAGAACTTACATGGTAATTACATATTAAGTTAAAGTGTTTTATTGTGTAAATAAAGTGTATAATTGTAATATTGTGTAAAACCATATTTACTGGGAATGATTAATAAATAAAAATTAGATTTGAACCTGAATTACATGGTAATAACTGTTTAAGAACTCTGAAACAATAATGCACTTTAACTCACTATGTAATTACCATGTAAGTACTTAGTAATTAGAGGACTGTAAAAGAAAGTGTTACCAAACTCTCTAAAATACACAAATACAATATAAGCACACAATAGGAAACACACTACCGTGGACCAGAGACCCCCAGAAAAGCGCTACGCCCCCTGTTGTCTCCGGGAAGAATTGCTTTGCAAATCTCCGCCAATACATGTGCACGACTCTGCAACTGAGCTGACTGAAATGATTAAATCTGGCTTTTTTGTGGTTGTGTTTGGTGATTGATCCAAGCTCCTGGGCCATTGTGAGCCCCAACACAGTTTCAAATGCTAAATTTAAGCTGTTTCTAGTACACAGATACATTTAGAACATGACTTATCTAGTCTTTATTCCTCCAAGGCTGAAATAGTATCTGGCCTTTAGGTCACCCCTACATATTTGCTATTTTTTAAACTTTTTTTCCAGTCTTGAATAATAAAATGTCTACTTCCTTAGAAACGTGGCTCTCCTCTCACCAGCTGCAGACATTCAGGTCTTTTTATGCTTCCAAAACACACCACCATGTTGATCGTCTTCCTCTCCCTCTCTCTCTCTCTTAAGTTCCCCAGAAAGTACACACTGTTGACTCGTCTACCCCCGATGCTCCAGCGTTATCTCGGATGGATTTGTTGTGTTATTGCAGATGGACTGTTTCTCTTGCACAGAAGGCTCCCTTGACTGCACGCTGTACGTTCTCGGCAGCAGCTTTCAAATGCAAATACCAAACATCAAATCAACTCCAGACCTTTTACTCGCTGCTGAGGAAATAATGAAGGCATATCCCGCACCTGACTACGAGACAGCTTTTGAATCCGTTGTCAAATTACATTTGAGCCCTTGAAGAAAGAAGCTTCTGTAATTCCTTTGCCCTCCGTCCTGTGGGACTGTGAATAGCTGCAGCCCTTGTGCCATTTTTAGCTCATATTAGATAACTTTACTTTTAGTACTTTTAGCAAAGAGAAAAAACTAAAAGTTGCTGTCCAAACATATTCTACCTTCACTGCACATCCTGTCTATGAAATATTCTGCCTTACTGTATCTTATTTGCACATAAACTGGCAAGCAGGCTCCGGCAGCATGAACACATTTGGGATCTTCAGCTTTTTTTTTTCTCTTCCTTCGTTCTCGGAGGTGCGCTGTTTAATTCAAAACCCTCTAACGTTTCTGGCTTTGCTTCTGGAAACTCCATAAGCTGTCCGTCACTCTGTTACCTTGATCTTTTCTCCTTTAGAACTTCCTTTATTTCACTCACCATTACATGCCACTGGCATGATGCCAGATCCACCCTTCTTCCGCCTTCGGGTTTATTCAAACCAAACAGCCCTCAGCTGTTAATCAGCGCTCCAGCGTCGCGCTGCATTCAGTGGGAATTCCTCTAAATCCTCGCTCATTTTACTGCGCAGGAGCAGAAGAAGGCTCTTGGAGATTAAGTCATTCAAAGTGTTTCTCATGAAGGATTATGGGTATTTTCTCATTAATGGCCTTATCTGTGGTTTTCAACAACATTGTGGTCAGATTTGGTTATTTTCTGCGCTAATGTGGGATAATCTGCACATAATTGTTTTTTAGGACATGAAGTGGACTTTGTTTGCCGCCTTTTGAACTTCGCGTCAGCGCCCATCTTGCTTTCTCCTTTCATCTGACTCTCAGCGTCTCTTTTATCATTTGTCTCCTCTTCGTCTCTGTCAGAATACACCTGTCTCGTTCCGGCCCTCCCCTTTTACCGCTCCTCAGCTCTTTCCTCTGATCTGCTTCTCTTTTTGTTTTAGCTCGTTGCTGACGAAGCCGTAATCGTCCTCAGCGGGCAGAGAAAGGTTTCACCAGCCCCATTCTCTCCTCTCTGTCCCTCCGTCCGACTCGAGGCCCGTCTCTTTTAGCCTTGAGTTAAATGAACTGTGACACTGATGGTTAGAAGCAGATCTCAACAGATATAGGAAGCACTCTTTAATTAAGACACTATCTCGCCGCCACTCCCCCGTTCCTGCTCATCGGAACGCGCCGCCGCCGTCTCCCGTGCTTCGATTAGGCCCACTTTCATTTGCTCTCCGGCAATAATTGAAAACTCAGCGCGATAAAAGTAATAGTGCATTCTGCCTAAACAAGCACAAACTCCTGATACGTGACCATGTCAGGTCCCGTTAGCTCAGCTTCAGCTTTTGCTCCTCCTCCTCCTCCTTCAGTTCTCATTTTCCTTGGCACTCTTATCATCCTCTTTCATGTCTGCTTCCCCTCAAACATGCACACGCGTGCACACATCAATGACGCTTGTATTGCTTTTCTTTTTCTCCGTCCGTGGGTCCCTCTCTCCTTTACTTTTCTCCTTTCACTCTCACTGTGATGTCCCCCCCCCCCCCTCCCCCAGCCTTGTGTCTGGCTCAGTTAAAATCACAATCGCTTTATGCATATTTCCTCTTTCATCCTTCACTCCACTCTTCTCCTTCACCTTCCTTTTGCTCGCACACAGAAATGTTTAGGAGATCTGAAAACAAAGTGTGTCGCCAGGGCCGGCTCTAGGAAATTTGGTGCCCAAGGTGAGACTGCCCATTTGCGTCGAAGTTCATAAAAAGGCTGCAATCATACTCCAAAAAATGGTAAAAAAAAAAATCTTACATTCATCATGATCACAGTGAGACTCAACAGGTGTAGAAGACAGTCCCGCCCCCCTGGTGTCAACAGGTGCCTGTCGACAGACTGCAGATATTGTCTCACTACAGCTGGACACGACGATTCAAAAGTAAAATTAATTGGTTAAAGTTATGAGATACTGTATTGTGAGTGTAAACAGCTAGCGAGGGTCCGTCCGTGGACCGTGCGTGGCGGGAGAGGCAGTTAGCTACAATGGTAACGCAAAAAGTTCCTTTTGCCAAATTTATAAAGTCTACATACCTCTGCTTTGGGCCCGTTTTTTTTTTTCTTCCTCCTTCCTTCGCTTTCGGAATGCTGATCCCGATGGCTTAGGTGGTGTTCTTTTCATCGTAAAATATCAAAAGTTTAAACGCGACGACAGCAGGATGTCCTTCTACAGTGCTACCCACACACGTGACTATGGCAACCTTAACGGTCAAATGCATCGGAGCGGTGGCCCAAGCGGGAGCTCGTCATGCAGCCAGATCATTAGAATTTAAATATTGATGTTTTAATTTCATGTCATTTCAGAGGGGAATTTTGAGTATGTAGAGAGTGCATTTCATGTAACAAACATAAATTTTATAAACTTTTTTTTTTTGCGCCCTATCCATCAGATGGCGCCCCAGGCGGCCGCCTGTGTCGCCTATTGGCAAAGCCGGCCCTGTGTGTCGCTGCTTTTAATTGCCATGAAATGTAGATGCAATTTACTTTTTCTCCTCTTTTTAACTTTATTTTTTTTAAATGTTCCATCCTCCACTATTCATCCTCCTCTCCATAGGTGCCCGGTGAAGTTCTACAAAAGCTCATTCGTCTGTCACTAACTTCTACCTGCCTGCAACCCCCCTCACTGCGCTTTTGGCTAAAAGTCTCCTCCCTGCTGCTCTTCTACCTGTTTCTCTTCAAAGGTGTAACGTCCCAGCTGAGAGGAAACAGAAAAGGAAAATAATTCATCTGTGTGCTTCTTTTTTTGTTTGTTTTGTTTTGTTTTGGATGCTAACACCATCTTTTCCCTCTGCCTCCCTCCAGGTGTTGTGTCCCAGCAGGACAACGGAAAGACATTCAGCGTGTCCAGCACCATCCGCATCCCGGTGGAGAGGAAAGACAACGGGGCGGCGTTGAACTGCGAGGCTCTCCACCCCTCGCTGGGCGGGCAGAATAGGGTTCGACGTTATCGACTGGACGTGTATTGTGAGTCTCTCCTTCAATTAAAATCCCGCCGTCTTTGTGAGAGCTGCTTTATAACGAGACCTTTTTATCAGCCATCAAGCAAAAGATTCGGCATAATATTCATTTCTGCATTTTTCAAAGGCTCTCGTTAATATTCCATCTGTGCTCCTGCCAATTAAGTCGCTACTTTAAGATTACTTGTGACATCGTTTATTTTTTTCATCTTTGAGATAATAAGGCCGTTTCTCAGTGGCCTAGTGGTAGAGTGTCCGCCCTGAGACTGGGAGATCAGGGTTCCATTCCTGGTCGGGTCATACCAAAGTCTTTGAAAAAATGGGACCTAATGCCTCCCTGCTTGACACTCAGCATTAAGGGGTTGGATTGGGGGGTTAAACCACCAAATGGTTCCTGAGCGCGGCTGTGTCTGCAGCTCACCGCTCCCCCAGGGGATGGGTCAAATGCGGAGAACAAATTTCGCACACACACCTGTGTGTGTGTGTGACAACTAATGGGACTTTAACTTTAACTTTAAATGCTTGATCCTGAAAAAGAAGCTTGGTCCGAGACTTTTGTGAAAGGCAGAGCTGCTGAATACAAATCCTGCCATGCAGAATGGAGGCAGGAATAAACCACAGGCCCGGCTGGGGTCCTGGGCTGTGGTTTTAAGAGCTTACCGACATCAACTGGAAAAACCAGAGGAAAAATGCTTGGGTTAGATTAACATGTATGATGATCCAAGTGCTGCTTAGGGATTGATCCCAGCTGGCTTATTTGCACAAAGCAGTGTGAGCTAAAATCTGATGTCCTTCTTATGGAAATAAGTGCATTCAAGTACCAAAGGCAGTTTAAACTCATTAAAGTTGAGATTTGCTGCAACAAAAAGCTACAAAGGAACATTTATTTCTCAGTGTTTGCAGAGGATCCTTCAGATTAATGCATGAAAAAAACCAAACAAGCGTCATTCATCACTTGTTTTTTAAAATAAATATTTGAAATGGATCTCCAAGGATATTTTACTTTGCTCTTATGTAAGGGAGACATGTTGGATCTTTATTCTTTATGCTTTGTATTTATTTTGTCTTAAACACCAAAGAGTTTCCTGCTACTCCAGGCCATTTGTCGTTAGCGCTAGCTACAGCAGGCTGCAGCAAACGCTAACAACAAATGGCCTGTATTTGTATGGAGCCTTCTTAGTGTTCTACAACCCCCCAAGGCGCTTTACAACACAATAAGTTATCCACACATTCACACGCTGCTGGGGATGAGCTACAGATGCCCTGGGGCACACAGACAGAGGCGAGGCTGCCAAACACAGGCGCCGCCAATCCCTCTGACCACCACCAGCAGGCAAGGAAGGTTAAATGTCTTGCCCAAAGACACAACAGCAGCATTCTCTGGTGGTAACAAGAGTCGTACCTACAACCTTCCAATTACTGGACAACCCGCGCTACTTCCTGAGCTGCTGCTGCCCTAATGCTAACACTAACATGAGATCAGTAATACTAAATAAACCACGAAGTAGATAAATCCACACTGTTGGACAAAAATATTATTATTTACAATTCCAGCCGCAACAAAGCCAGGTCACCATCACTCCGTGATTGTGTAGCCTCCTTTAGCTCCCTCAAACGGATTTAAGCAATGTTCACTCTGGTTTTAGCTCTTTGCTTCTCCTCCAAATACATTACTCTCTTACTTTTACTTGCAGGTTTCATGATACCAACCAAAAGGCTAACTGCTAGCCTGTATTTTAGCTAACGGCAGCAGGTAGAGCCCCGCCTAGTGAACCCATCACACAAAACTGTTGAGTGTGGTTTCTGGTCAGCGAATGGCTGCAGAGGGCTGTCAAACCTGAAGTTAGTAAAGTTTCTACCTTAAGAATTACCAAAACCTACTTGTTAAAATCTCTTTAGTGTTGCTTTAAAACTGATATCAGGAGTTTTTTTTCTCAAAGGGCACCATCTAGGGGCAGAAAAGGTGCATCACACCTTTAAGCCTCTCCCTACTTCTGTGGTTACGACTGGCAGCGCCCCTCATTCGTGAGCGTGCACCTCTTGCCGGCCAACAGAGCTAAAATACAGATTTTTGTAATTCTTCTCACGTCATGCTGTTTGCTTACATTCACACACACACACACACACACACACACACACACACACACACACACACACACACACACACAATGCTGAGCGGTGCTCAATACAAATGCGTAAAACTCTACGGGACGGCAGTCAGGCCTAGCCAAAACGATTAACATATACATTATAGCAGTACAGGGTAAGAATAGAACTTTTATGGCTTTCTGAAAAGTCAACCATAATTCCTGAAAGGGGGAAAACTCTGATTGTTGCTTTAAAAGAAAACCCTTTTGTTCATGGAAATATAATTTAATCAGAGTATTCATTTTAAAACATATTTTATGCTTTGGTTGCACACTAGTTGCCTACATGTATTCAATATACGTTCCACAAAACCAGTTCCCAACACATCCCACCTATTCTATTTCCATTAACATCCAGTCACTCAGTTCTTCCCGTATCGGCTTTCCTGGCAGTTTGCTGTGATTCTTATCCGTCAATATGTCCGTAATTCAGAGAAGTCAAACATTCCACAGGCACATTTAAATATTTACTGCTGGTGATATGATTCATATTCAGCAAGTAAATATGAGTCCGTCTTGGAGAACAGTTCATTTGCCACGTGTTTGTTAATGGATCAGGACGATTAATATTTATCAGTGCTGACATTCCCGCGGTCCTTCTCCCGGTTGGAGAGACGGCGATAACGTCGGGTTGTGTGACTGGATTTGGCGTCCCGTTGCTGCGTTGTTGAAGCAACTGCGGTACAGCAGCTGGTGGAGCGATACACTGCTTATGATAACAGGTGTCTCAACCGTAGGGTTGTGGGCTGGTTGCCGTGGAAACAGATGTTAAAGACTCTTCCTTCTGCCACTTAGTCACTTTTCCCTTGCTCCTCTTTTTTTTTTTTTGTTTCCTCTGTGTTTATCTCTTGCTGCTCCGATTTGTTGCTTTTGTGTTTTCTGTCCTGATCGTTGCTCCATTTTGATCTGTTTTTGTTTTCATGTAGAGATTTCTCATGTTTCCCTCCTTTGTGTTTTGATTCTCTTCTCTTTTTTGTTTTCTCTACAGTTGCTCCCACAGTGAGAATCATTCCTCCTTCAGGCATTTTGCGCGAGGGCGACTCGCTCAGCCTCACCTGCTCCATCACCGGGAATCCTTTGTAAGTGTGTTTGTTGATTTATGGTTTATTGTTTCATGTCTTGCTGCACACATATGTGTGTGTGTATGTACAGTGGGGCAAAAAAGTTCTCCCATTTGAAAAGATGAGAGAGGCCTGTAATTTTCATCATAGTTTTACCTCAACTGCGAGAAAAAATGAGAAAAGAAAGTCACATTGTCTGATTTTTAACCCTCCCACTGTCCTAATGGGTGTGACCCCGCGAGGAAAGTTGACCATTGAGCAGGATTGATGGTTTATCCCTTGAGGTCCACGTAGACGTAAAGGTTGGTTTATGCTTGATGCGTCCGCGAGGTCCGCACGGCTCTGCGCGGCAAAATTGCGTCATTTTAACAACCGCGCCTCCGCACGGCTCAAAATTTCCGCAACGCGCACCTAGGAAAATTTCTAACCACGCGGACGGTCGGACGTGGAAAAACACGGCGGACCGGCAAGAACTAGTATGGCAGGGGTTCGTAAATACAGACATTTGTATGATTCAGCTCTCAGAGATCACCGTGATCAACATGTTGTTAATAATTCTTGGAGAGAAATAGCTCGCACTGTCGGAAAAGACGAGGACGCTGTTGAAAATGCTGGAATGCCATGTTGTAAACAACGGTTTTTACTTCTACTATGGTGTAGTGTTGGATGCATGCCGTAGAGCTCCATGCTGCCCCCTACAGTTTTGGAGAATATTGGCTCACCGCAGAGACGAGCCGCACGAACCATAAATGCTGCAAGTTGTGAAGAGCGTTCCATCCGCGAGCCGCATCACCAAGCGGAAAGTGAATGCGTCGAGCATAAACCAAGCTAAAGGGTGAGGTGGTGCTCACTCCTCACCCCTGCCACATGGACTCAAGGGATAAACCATCAACCCTGCTCAATGGTCAGCTTTCCTCCCAGGGTCACACCCATTAGGACAGTGGGAGGGTTAAAGAGTTTATTTGCAAGTGATGGAAAATAAGTATTTAGTCAAAAACGACTCTGTTGGCACGTCAAATTTTTCTGTGAGTCTTCACAAGGTTTTCACACACTGTTGCTGGTATTTTGGCCCATTCTTCCATGCAGATCTCGATGTCGCCTCACATAAAGTGAAAACAGAAATTAAAATATAGAATGGAGTTCGTTCAGAGTAGTAAAATCTGCAGGTAAACGTACGAGTGGGTGTTAGTGAGTGCTTTCTGGAGAGAGTTGGTATGCAAGTTTGAACGGATGGGTTTGGAGTCTGGATTTGAATGTGGTGATGAAGACTTGACAGTATATATGTTTAGGGGAAGGGAGTTCCAAAGTCTTGGGGGTGGGGTGGGGTGAGGAGGTTTTTGCAGTGGAAGCGGAACTGGACCAGGAGCCAGTGAAGTTTGATTAGAATGGGAGTGATATGGTCAGAGGTTTTAGTGCAGGCGGCAGAGTTCTGAATATTTATCAGTCTGTTGAGGAGTTGGTAGGAACGCCGGTGAGGAGGGCGTTGCAGTAGTCGATGCTGGAAGGGAATATGAGTGGACCAGGATTTCAGTGTTGGACTGGGACAGGGATAAACGAATCCTGGAAATGTTACGAATATGTGATGCAAATAAAACTGTGTTAATGAGAATGACCCCGAAGCTTTTGACTCGTGTGGAGTATTGGACTGGATGGAGTTTGGTGATGCAAGGTTTAGAGTCGATGAGCAGGGCTTCTCTTTTACTGCCATTTAACTTCAAGAAGTTCCTCTCCAGATGTCTTCTACACAGGTTGTGAGTAGGGTTGTCACGGTGTGAAAATGTAACCTCACGGTTATTGTGACCAAAATTACCACGGTTTTCGGTATTATCGCAGTATTTTTTTTAAACGTGCTACATTTTCACACAATTAAATAAACCCTGTATGTCAGAAAATATTGTCCTCAGTTTGTGTCTAAATTTTGGCTAAAATGTTATTTTGTAATTATGTTGTTTATTTGTTTACATATTTCCCCTTTAGTCTTTAAAATACCAATATTTGTCCATAACTTCTTATTTTTTGTCTATTTGATGTCATCATTTAAAAATATTAGATCAAATGATACTCAGTACTCAAGTAGCCTTCTAATCAGATACTTTTTTACCCTTACTTGAGTAATAAACCCTATATAAGGAAAATATTGTCCTCGGTTTGTTTCTTTCCAGTGAGATTTGCAGATTTGGGAAAATGTCATAAATTTATAATTATTCTCGGAGAGAGACTAACTCTTATCTGCCCCTGGGAGCCCCGTAATGCATAGCGTCATTTCAACATTTCGACACGGTTTATATGCAGGTAGCGGCGCTGCGGCTGCTTTATATAGCGACTCGTTGCATTCCCCCTCAACCCAAATCCTCGGATCACGCATTTTAGCTAAAACGCTAACGTTAGCTTGCCTTGCGTTGACTGTAGAGTTGTGGGTGATGGTCACGCAGATGTGTCATGAGATTTGAAGCGTTGCTGCCTTTCACAGACACTTTTTCTGCTCGTGCTGCAAACAGGATAGCCGTCTTCTATCAACTCTTCAAATATCCGAAAGATGTCCGTACTTCCCACTTTGTCTTCTTTGAGGGATAATAAATGTCCTGAGTGCTGCCGTCTCCTCCTTTGGCCAGTATTTCAGCTTTAGCTTCAAGAAAGTTTTGGTTGTAAACAACAAAGCGTGCATGTGCCGCCGGCAACTTCAGCAGATGATACGGTGGCTGGTAAGGGTCACCGCGCCAACACCGCAGCCACGGTAATCCACCAAGATAATATAGTTTTGTAAAAACAAGACGGTTATTATTATTGTCAACTTTTTTACCGGGGTTTACCGCTACACCGGTTACCGTGACAACCCTAGTTGTGAGAGAAGTAGGAGGAATTGTGGTGGTGGGTTTAGCAGAGATGAATATCTGTGTGTCATCGGCGTAGCAATGAAGGTTTATGTCATAGTGCTGAAGGAGTTTACTTTGGGCGAGAAGATAGATAATGAAATGAAATGGACCCAAAACGGACCCCTAGGGCCTCCAAGCAGACCCCCTGACCACCCCGACTTGTGGTCCTTTAATTGCACAAAATGTTGGCTGTCAGTGAGGTATGATGTGTTTCAGCGAAGCGCAATTCCAGAGATCCCAATGTCAGCTGTATATATAGTTTGCTAGAGATCCTTTGGATGATACAGAAAAGGATGTATGTATATAAAATCCTTTTCTGGATCGTCCAAATGATCTCTAGCAAACGTCTTCACACGTTGGCTCTCTTTGAGGTTTTCTGTTCAAATCCCACCAATCCATAAAACAAATTTGAATCAGATCATAAATAAAGTGTGTTTCACCTCATAAAACAGTTTCATTGATCCACCTGGTTCTGTTTTAGTGAGGGTGTGATTTCTGAGACAGGATGCTGGGTCAGACTCCCAGAGAGAGTCTTGATTTGTCACCTCTGAGACAGAATCTAAATCAGATTTATGTAAAAAATAAACCTCCAACCTCAAAACTTGAACCTTTCTTGCAACAACTCAAAGTGTTTAACCTTTTGCACTGCTGCATTTTTGGCATTAAATTTTATTTTACACATTAAAAATAATAAATAAATAAATGGTAGATATTTGATTAGAGTGGTAAACAAATATCTAAATGTCAGCGTTTGATTCTATTATATTGCAGATTTAATGATGGGACATTTTCATTCAATATAATCTGGTGGGCGCTGAAGCTCTAAGCAGATGTCTTCCCCAACACACATGCAAAGACGCACGTTCTGCCAAATATTCTGAAAAACGAGGGAGTGATGCGGCTTGACATTTAATGTTTGATCCGGTTGAAGTGAATTAGCTGCTGCTAAAGGTTATAAAAAGTCTCATTCACACAGCTGAATTGAGACTAACTGGTAGATCTTTAAGTTTCTGTATGTTTTTCCGAAGGAGCCATTCGTGTTTTCAATGAGATATTTTTGTTGCACGATGCAGTTAAATAAAATGTGTGCCCTTTTCTCGATCGGACAGTTTTGTCATGCACTCCAAATACTCACACCAAATGCCTACACCGAACTGTCATAGTACAAATATGTGTACCATTACACCTTTACTTCGGATCAAGCCTGAGGCACTTCCAGCGTTACCTTCTTATTTCTGCCCAAAAAAAATTCTAAGTAGCAAATTTAGCTAATTTACTACTTTAAATTTAAAGTAGTATTAAGATTTATAATAAGGCATTTGTGGACTGACACTTTGTCCAGGGTGTACCCCGCCTGATTGCCCATTGACCGCTGGAGATAGGTACCAGCGCCCCCCCCCCCCCCCCCCCCCCCCCACCCCCCACCCCCCGTGACCCTACATGGACTAGCGGGTTCAGACAATGGATGGATGGGTGGAATAAAGCATTTGAAGAAATTGCTATGAAACATTTTGAACCATTTTAAATTTACACAAATTCCTTTTGGTCTTGGCCCCACATGGACTAGCTGTTAGCTTGTGTGTGTGTCTGTGTGTGTGCGTGTGTGTATGTGTGTGCGTGTGTGTGTGAGTGTGCGTGTGCGCTCTGTCTTCTCGATCCCCAGTGAGTCGTGAAGGATGGCTGCTTACACTGAGCCAGGATCCTCTGGATGTTTCTTCCTGTTAAAAGGGAGTTTTCCTCTCCACTGTCGCTATATGATTGCTTAGTATGAGGATTGCTGTAAAGTCACTGACTAGTGTCAGTGATGCAATTTGCTGGGTTCCTTATATAGGAAACATTTTTTCTGACTGGCTTAATGAACTGACCTGAATTGGAATGTTTATTATGTGAAGTGCCTTGAGACGACTCTTGTCGTGATTTGGCGCTATATAAATAAAACTGAGTTTAATTGAATTGAATTGTTTTTTTGGTCACATTTAGACATTGTTGCTTTAAACTGATCTTGTTGCTTTCTACAACAGGTTTATACAGAAACGTTTTCTTTTTCAAATATGATCGGTCACTCTGAGTTTAACATAGAGGCTAAACGTGAAAATAGTCTTCTACCCCATTTCCTGCATTAGCCGCCGATAGAAACGGTGAAACTCTCGGCATAGAAAAGCTAGTAGCATTCGCGGGCTTACCCATCTTGGCTCGTGACGAGGAAGGCTGTTGTTGGTTTAGCATCTTGGCTAGTAGAAGCTAACCGTTAGCATTAGCAACCCCACCACCCAGCAGAACTCCTTTAGGCTTGTGTTATTTGTTGAGATAAAACATCCACATTGCAAAGCAAGCTGCTCCCCTCACCTCTGGCTTACCTGTTCCTGAAACAGGTGCGCCAGAGCTTCCCCCCCCCCCCCCCCCCCCCCCCACAGCGCATTCATTTATACTAGAGACCACTGCAGATGCGTTAAAAAAAACGAGTGACCTCGGTCTACTAACACATCCCCCTGAGAGGCTACTGGAGCGTTAGAGGGATGCTCAAAGCTGAGTGTAAATATTGACTTTTCTCTGATTTTATTTGACCGTCTGGGGAAATAAAACAAACCAATCAGTGATCGACAATTTCAAACGCCAGCTAAGACTCAAAGCTTGTTTTTCCAGAGTGTCCACAGGCTCTGCGCTCCTTCCAGAAGGGTATTGGCTCCTAAGCTCTTAAACCCCTCCCCTAGATGGTCCGTCTGTCTGTGGGCACCAGCTCCACTAAGGCTCCCCCAGAAAAGCTTCGTGCAGCCAGAGTGTGTGTGTGTGTGTGTGTGTGTGTGTGTGTGTGTGTGTGTGTGTGTGTGTGTGTGTGTGTGTGTGTGTGTGTGTGTGTGTGTGTGTGTGTGTGTGTGTGTGTGTGATGACTTGAGTGAAATCCCTCTGAGAGGATGGCCTGAGAAGCAGATTGGCCCTCGCTGCTCTAAAGCTTTGTAATGGCTGATTGGGACCAGTGTGTGTGTGTGTGAGTGTGTGAGTGTGTGATGGCACTGCCTGCAGCTCTGGGCTCCGACCCTGGTCTTGTGCAGGTCTGCAGACACTTGGGCACGCACGCTCTGGTCACCCTTTTGTTAGCTCCCCTAACTGCCTGTTGAGCATAATCACCAATTAGATCCTCCTACCTTTGGCTGGAGGGCTGCACTCATGCCTGGCTGTTATTAGGGCGGTCGGGTCGGGCGACGCGTTGTCCCTTTGCTTGATTGCCTGCTTATTTGTAAATTACATCAGATTAAAGTGGGTGGGAGTGGCACTGTGTGTGAGACAATTAACACGGGAAGGGCTGACAAAGATTTTTTATTCATATAAAAAGTGTGTGTTTGAGAGGTGTGAGAGCGTGTTTGTATGTGAGTGACTGAGCAAGAAAAAGGTTTAATTAGACTTCCTGAGGGATTAGAACCCAGTTGAGTCAGGATTGTAATCTGTCCAAAGTGGCAGGAGCCATGACACTCAGCCAGAAGCACACACACACACACACACACACACACACACAGAGATTTCTTTTCCAGGAAGTCTCTGTAATCCTTCCACCTCCTGTCTGCTCTGACTGCCCATCTTTCATGACCGATTCATTTTAACTGACTGCTCTTTTCCTTCATCTTCCACCACTCCATCTCCTCTCTCTCTCTCTCTCTTCATTATTACACCCTTTCTTCCTACTTTGTCTTTTTCCCCACCCTGCACACCTGACACCCCGTTCCTCACTCGTCTGCCACCCTCTCCTCTCTGAGAACGGGTTCACACCGCCGCTGCCCTCTGACCGTCCGTCTCCTCATTATTTTTCAGGATGCATCCCCCCCGTTGCTGCGGTCTCTGTCTTTGAACCCCGTTATTCTGTCTATTCTTCTTAGTCTCACCCTCTGGGCCACTTTCCTCTCTTTTGCCACCTTTCTATTTATGGCATTCCCTAACCGTGCTCAAATCCTTTTCTGTTTTTTATTTAGGAGTTCAATTATTCTGACAGATGTTTGAATCTATGAGCTGTCCACTTTGGGGACTTTTTTCTTGAAAGGCAGCTGGTGCACAGTTGTCAATAGGAGGCATCTTTCCTGAAGATATGTTCAACAATGCATCACATTCTCATTATAAAAGCTCGGTCGATAGTGACTCAGAAAGCTTCAAACGTGCACACAGCCCTTGTTTATTTAACGTTTGTGGTGATAGAACAGAAGATGGCTCCTTGTTTTCTGGTTTATTTTTGAGACGACGGCGACTCTAGTTTGGCGGATTAGTTAATGTCAGATTATTTTCTTTACATTTGTCGTACTTGTGCTCTGTTTTCCCCGCCAGGCCCAGAACCACTCAGTGGTCCAAGATAAACGACACCTTACCGGAGAGGGCAGAGATTTCCGGACCCACTCTCCAGATCGCCCGTCTCAGCCAATCACACAACGGGACATACCTGTGCCAAGCCCAGAACAACTACGGCCGCGCCGCCGATTATTACACCCTGCTGGTGTACGGTGAGTTCACCAACCGCTTTAGTAATCAGTCATAAATGTAGCCGTTAGCATGTGGATGACTAGTCTAGACCGTTTCATGCTCACTGTTTACTTTTCTTGTTTAGTTTTGTGACAATTTGTGCAGAAAATGTCATTTTTATTGATTTTCTTTATGTTGTTAGTGCTTTTGGAGTCTAGATGTTCGTGCAAAAACCTGCAAACTTAACAAATTCTGGCATTTAACCTTTTTTTATTGATTATTTTTTTCCTGGTGTGGACTTAACGGCTCATCTTCGCTACCGTTCTGTGCCATTGATTTAATAGCAGTATTGATTCCACGAGAAGATTAGATTACCACCAGGCTTATGTATATGTTTCAAACATCATTATTCAGGGCTTTTTACATTTTTTAATACATTAGCAGCTTATTATTGCTGCTGAAGCCCTAGTCCTCTTCTCGGGGAAGTTGGAATAACTCAAAGCACTAAGTGCAATAAATACAAATACAGATGTTTTGACAGTTAAATGGGTTTTGCGTGCAGCACCGGATGAAGATTCTGAGCTTGAACATGCTGGTTGGCTTTTACGTGTGTTTGTGTGGGATTTGCATATCCCTAATGTGGGATATGCAAATTGCTTCAAATGGGGGGGGGGGGGTGTTCTTGTCTAGTTTTCCAGGATGTTGCACCTGGATTCACTTCTCCATCCTTAATGAGGGCTGACCCAGTTCGATGGAGCTTTCAACATCACACGAAAACCTTATGTCACAGTTTTTTTTTTTTGAGAGCTTGACAAATTGGCCAACTTTCGGATTTGAGTTTGTGCTGCATCTGAAAAGAAGCCGTAGGTGCACGTTAATGTTGTGCGATCCCCACATGAGAAGACGGAGAACACTTGTGTCTGGGCGGGTTTCTGATCTGAGGACAGCAGCGTGGCTAGGTAGCGAAACGAGCTCATCGTTAGAGGCTGGATTCACTTCCTGGTGTGTTTTTGAGTTGGGCCTAATTGCTGCTGTCACTCAGCAGGTTCACTCTTTTGATCTGCTCTCCCCTCCCCCTGGTGGACGCCTCTGTCATTACACCTAAGCTCCTGATTTGGAGATCAGAAGCAGAAGGAAGAATCGAGGAGAGAAAAAGAAGAAGAGATGTATTATGGAACATGGTTTTGCCTGCTTTTAGTTAGCCCCCCTTCATCCATCCGTCACACTAGAATTATCTCTCACTCGCACCCTGTACACACTGTTGTACAAGCTTTCAGTGACACACATAATGACAGTTTTCCACAGGCAGCAAGGGCGGCAGCGGTGGCAAGATGAAAGGTGACATCCCCGCCTACTACCTTTTCCTCTTTTCTTCCTCCTTTTTCTCTCTCTCAAGAAATTGAGACACTTACAGATGTGACGTGTTGCTGCATCTGTAGTTAAGTGTTCTGCCTCTCTTCCTTCATTTTAAAGCATTAATCATCTTTATCTCTGCTTTTGTTGCACAGTTCATTTTCTATTATATGTCATGTCATTGCTGGTCTTTCTTTTCTCCTACCTTATTGAAAAAGGTGCAGTCCACACAAAAAAAAATAAAAAAATAATAAACGAGCCAATCTCCAGCTCCTTTGTGCTCTGCCACACATTTCCAGTAATCAGCTCCTTACACCCTCATGCTGTTGTCTTGTATCAGTGGTGGCTTACTGTACTGGAAAAAAATATGTACTTAGCAATGTTCGAATTCCAACGTCGCCTTAAAGAGATCAGTGCTGTTGATGCAGCCTTTATATGAACAACAGTCGCTCATTTCTAACAATTGTCGTAACAGATAATCAGGCTTACATGTGAATTTTCTTTTTTAACCATAAAATATGGAATGAAACTTGCCTTTTCTGGCTGTTTCCAGTGAAATGTGTGTGTTTCTGTAAAGACGCACAGTGGTGAAGAGTGCAGGAGTGTAAATCTCTATTTTAATCATGATGAGATTCAGTTTGAATATGTGCTACCGGTGATGGAACAAAATCATTCCCAGAGGAGATGCTATGATGTTATTAGCTTCCTCATTTGATGCAACTCTTAATAAGCCCCCCCCCCCCCCCCCCCCCGCTGGTTGGAAACAGAATTACAACAGTCTGCTGCAGCTAGCGCTAACAACAAGCTAGCGCTAACGACAAGCTAGCTAACGCTAATATGAGCCAACTGATGCTAAAATTAACCACAAAGTAAAATGATCTACAATTTTGGACTAAATATATTATTACTTACAAGTCCAGCAGCAACAAAGCCAGGTCACCATCAGTTCGTGATTTCTTAGCCTGCTTTAGCTCACTCAAATGATCAGGCCGTATGTTTACTCTTGTTTTAGCTTTTTGCTTCACCTCCAAAGACATTACGCTCTTATTTTTGCTGCCAGGCTCCACCATGATGCAAACAGAAAAAGCTAAAATTCTTCTTTTCTTTTTTTATTGTCAGCAAACTGAAATAACTAACTGCTAGCCTTTATTTTAGCCAGCAGCAGTAGTAAGTGCAGTTACTGGTCAGCAGAGGGCTGCAGAGTGCTGCCCAAGGTGAAGTTACTCAAGCACCACTGAAACCAGTTTGAAAGTACCGTATTTTCCGAACTATAAGCTGCTACTTTTTCCCACGCTTTGAACGCGGCTTATAATGAGGTGCGCAGCTTTAAAGTGATGGATGCTGGAAAGGAGTGCTACGGAAAGTGCCCCGGAGGTTTTTTTCACAGTAAAACTGTGCTGCGTGTTTTCACCGCTTCACCCCGGGATGATGACTGCAACACGGAGAGCGACACTGACAGTTAAGCCTGATTCATGCTTCTCCGTCTGCGTCAGTGCGGAGACACGCAACGTCCTTGCAGACCTGCCAGAGAGCTCCGCAAGGACGGACGGAGTCGAGCTCTTTTTTCTAAACATCCGTCAGTCGAGACGGACGACGCAAGCTTGTGATTGGTCAGGACGCTGCTGTCGTCTATACCGCCGCCATTGCGCCCTCAAAAACATAAAGAGAGCCGAGGATAACTAGCAGCAGACACGGAGAAGCTTGAAGAATACCTCGCGAAAAAACTCTAAAAACATGAGCGTTTAATTCTCCCGTGACTGGAGGAGTGAAAAGATGCGCAGCAAGTGTTGTTATTTGTGGACGGAAATGACAGGAAACGTGGGTTTAGAGGTGGGGAGCACATGAAGCGGTGAAGGAGAATGACAGACAAATATGTCTGTGTTAAAAAGTCTCTTATATACAAAAAACATAATATAAACACACTATCTTATACCAGATACATGACAGGATACCACAGAACAGTGCTACGCCCTCTGTTGTCCTGCCGGGGAATTGCTTTGCAACACTCCCCAGGAGACGGAGAAGTATGAGAGCAAAACGATTCCGTCAATCCGTGCGTGTCTGTCCCTTGCGGAGCTGACGGAGAAGCATGAACCGGGCTTAAAACTAAGTTTTCAATTCAGTAGATATCTGCGGCCTTTAGCCCGATGCAGCTAATATTGAGTTGCGCTCTAAAGTCTGGAAATTACGGTAATCGCTCGATGTTAAAATCTCTTTAATGTTGCTGTAACACATTTGGTGTTGTGCAGGAAACGGTTGAGAACTGCACATCAGTGGAACTTTAAAGTGGCAGTGTGTAGCTTCCCGGCACTAGGGGGCAGTACATACATTTCAGGCTGGTTTTACACCAGATCTTCCTGACTGTCGCTAGTTTCAAAAACATTACAACAAATGTTACCTGTGGAGCAGAAAGCATGCAACCTCGGCGTGACTCCTCATACTTGGATGGTCCTTCAGTTCAGTCCATCAAGAGAATGCCGGCAATACCGCTCGGCCAAAATATATTTCTTTTATTCTGTTCTTTTACATATGTTTTGGAAAGAGTTCAGCAGTTTTGTTATAAAATTTGCATTTCTTACTACCTAAATGTTTTTGACTGTGGGAATGTCACTTCTGTAAGTCGTATGTCCAGCCAGTCATCTAGTGTGACATCATCGGCAGCCGCAGGACCCCGAGCCAGCCAGAAGGAAGCATGGCGTCCCTCAAAGACGCTAGACCCACGCCCTATGTACCGTTGACCCGATTTTTATGGGTATATGTTACAAAGCTGGCAGTAATACATAATTTTAATCATGTTCAACAACATTTCCATGCATATTTCCAGAGGTTCACATTAAAAACTACACATTGTCTCTTAAAAATAAAGCAGTTTTCAAAATAAAAGTGTGAATAAACAGTTACTCATAAAATTTTAGCTGTTTTTTTTTATTATCAATGACCTTATAATCAGTGTTTTGTAACACTTCTAGAGAAGACTAGTTTCTGCTCTACATCTTTGCCAGTGCAAATAATTCCACTGTGGATGATTTAATAAGGTGATAGTGAAGTTGCTTCAGCAAATTAGATGAAGCCCATCTGTCAATATGAAAAGAAATATCATTCTATGCCGCAAAATATGTTCAAATTATTCACAGCTCCAATATTACCCAGAGTTAGTTTTCTATCTTTTGTTTGTTGGGTTTAGTTTTTTTGCTTTAATCTTATTTTTTGAGACATCTTCATTTATTCATAACGGCTGTAGTGACAAAACAAAGATTAAGCTTTATTAGTAAGCTTCTCATCTTTTTGTGTGTCTCTCTCTGTTTCACTCCTTCCTCTCCTCTGCTGCACACACTCAAGCTCTCCATATGTTTCCTCTCATTGTCTGTCCGTCCTTATGCTCTACCTCATGTTCTCGCGGCTTCCGTGCCTCCTGTTCACCTTCTCTCAAACACAGCCGCCGTTTCTCACCTTGCCTCCCGTTTGCCCCCTATTACAGGTCCATCTGCACTTCACTTTCTTTCCGCGAGGAAGGTCTAGCTTTCAGAGAAACAAGTGAGTGTAAAGGTGTGATAAACGATGGAGGGGGGACGAAGTGAGGAAGGCGGAAGAGAGCGGGATGAAGTGTGTGAAGGATGGAGTAAAAGTAGGAGAGGAAGGACGGTGGAGGTTAAATGCAGGTTAGAATTCAGAACCACAGCTTGTCAGA